TGGTTGGGGAAAAAATGGGGAAAAAAAAAAAAAAAAAAAAAAAAAAAAAAAAAAAAAAAAAAAAAACACGTTGGAGTCGGGCTTTCGGGCGGCAGTTCGGGTCGGGCTCCACCAGTAAAAAATCTAGCAGTTGATCGGGGTTCGGCAATTCGGGTCGGAGGGAAAAAAATAAAAAAATCTGGCAGTCGGTGGTTGAGGGCGTCTTTCGGCGGCGGGCTTCCGCGATGTCATCCAAATTCGGGCAGCCCGAGCCCGAGCCCGAATTCTTCCTTGGGCGGGCGGCTTTATGGGCCTGCCCGCCGAGCCCGAAAAATTCAGGCTTCGAGCAGGCCTGCCGGCCCAAAGTTCCACCACTACTTTCGGTATTGTAATCAATATTAGAAAAAAGAATATCATATTCTATTAAGGACGAGATATACAAAGAAACCTCTATATAGAGGTAAGGAATTTCGAACCACTCTTGACACAGAGGTTAGGCAATCTACTCCCTTTCAAAATCTTTACTTTTGACCCTTTTTTTAGAGAGATTCTCTATTATGCCTAGCGTACCGGTACATCAGATTTTGCTAACTGTTAGATCTACACACATTTTGACTTTTACGTGATTTTATATGAATTTAACAGACAGAAAACTTGACATACCAATATGTTTAGAGATGGCAATATTCTCCACGGGATGAGCCCTGCCTCAAACGGGAGTGGGGATGGGGGACAATTATCAGGGATAGGGATGAGAACAAGAATAAAAACTAATCCCCAATTTGTGGCAGGGTGGGGACGGGGAAAGTACTCCACACCCCGCCTCCGCCCTAATATAAATATGTTATAATGCTTTGTCAGGATCCAAGTTTTTTGAATTATGATGCTTGAAAAGAAATAGCGTACAACCATGCAACGAAGATTGAGGTTGTTCGGAATAGAAAATGAAAGATAATTTATGTTTATGTTTTGATGTTTTTAAACTTTTTTTGCTTATGCGTTAGTTATTACTTTTGGATTCAATTTGCATGTTAAGAATTGATTTTTTTTATGAAACCTTTGATTTTAGTCTAAATTTATAATAAATTTCAACTCTTTTTATTTTAAGTTGTTAAAATTTTAAAATACATAATGCTACATGATGAGAATGTGACAGGTATGAAAAATGCTCCTCCAATAAAAGATCCCCGACTCTGACCTCACCCCTCATTAAGCAGAGATAAAGACGTGGATGGAGATAGTTTAAGGGGACGGGGATCAAGAAGGGAAATCATCCTCCGTCCCCACCCCGCCCCATTACCATCCCTAAATATGGCGTGTTGGAGGTCTCCTTTTTTTTTATCTCAAAAGAAATTTTGATCATCCAGGAAACAAATCTCAGGCTCGTCTCAAGTACATAAATATACCAAAAATTTCACTTCCGAAAAGCTTTCGTAAACAGGAGTTCGTACAAGCTAGATCATTATGCAAGCAACAAAGTTATTAAAAAAAAAAAAAAAAAAAAAAAAAAAAAAAC